AAAGGAGAATTCTACTGCCTGAGGGTTATAATCCCTAAGTGCGGCCGAAGGCCGCCTACGCAGAAAGGTGTTCTCTGCAAAATGTGTTCAGCCCCCCCTTCTTCGGCAACACAGAAATAATAATTCTACTAAGTAAAAATTCCGAATTAAAAATCCGCTTTTATTATTCAAAATTCCAGTCTGGTAGCACTAAGTTGTATGTTATTTTGCTATCTTATTCATCGTTAATATGAAAACTTTAACAATAAATTATATAAGAACTATAGGGTTGCTAGAAAAAAGGGGGGTAGTTTTGAAATCAGGGGGTCCTATTCTACCCCCCCTCATCCCCCCTTTTTCTAGAATTTGCCGTCCGTCTACTAAAATTTTCCCACAAGTCCCTTTATCGTTATCGAAACAATGCATTTTTAATATTTCTTGTCTCCTGTATCAAAATATGAGTTTTCAGAAAAAGTGCACCTAGCAACTTTTCACTCTAAGCTAGCGACATAAAGATTGATTCTACTAAATTGCGTTAGTTAAGGGTTTTGATCGCTCCTTTATCCAGTAGTACATGATTAATAAGTAACTTTTGATTTGTGTATTACGGTTTAGTTATGGAATACCGAAGTTGTCGTAAGTTTAAAAAATTAACTACTTATAAACCACGTTGAATCATGTCATTATGAGTTTCTTACACATAATTTTGTTCGTTAGGAAATTCTTCCAGTAAGCGACCAATATGATTTGCGTTTTAACTTACTTGATACAATTTTCCACAGTTTTGCTCATTGCCCCCAAATCTTTTCCAGCCTTTTCTAAAATATTCTTTACAAATGATATGTCAGCTTGGTTTCCACATGTTAAGCAACTGCGGAAATAATGGAATTTATATGTACAATGTTAACGCAGGGCTTTATTTTCTTTTATCACCAACCTCCATTTAGAATTCCAATCCTTTGTGCTTAGCGGTAAAATGACTCCCTCACAATTGGATTCGGTGCAATGAAAGGCATCGTAATTAGTTCCAAATTCTGTTACATCCATACACCTTATGCAAGCGCATTTAAATAATTTTGTATGCATGAGATGTTGCTGCCTCTCTACAGTTCCCCAAACAGCATCTGAGTAGCAAATGCTTAAATGCGTATTCCTTTTAATAGCATGTGGAGCCCATAGAATTAAGCCTCCATCCTTTGTAAAACTCTTTGCCAAATTGGGATAACAAGAATGCTCCAAAAACGATGCATTATTAAATACTGCAACATGTGGAGGATCAGTGGCTGGAACTTCATGACCGTTAATTTGTAAAATGCCAATTGTTTTCATAATCAATTCCTCGTTGTAGTCAGATGTTTTGAAAAATCTGAAAATAATAAAGTAGATACGTTATGCCCATGGTGCAATAATGAAAGGTGTTGTACGTTGTGACAGCTCGAAATCGAACTACCTTAGGTCAATATTGTATTGATTTTGCTCTTTTTGTCTTTTTGTCATTTCTGCTGCTTCATCTTTGTCACAGCTGTTTGCGTTGTGTTTATTAGGTGTCAAATATACAGTGCATCTAAAACTGTTCGCTAACTGATATTTACCAGCTGATTGGTTCACTGATTAATACATCGTTTTCAAAACCGTTTTTGCTTTTTTGCTTCTAAAACCTAAAAAATAAATATAATTTTAAACATGTCGTGTATTTACACCAATTGCCACGTTAAAAGCGACTCCTATGTGTCATGCTGGCTCTGCGATGGGATTGCCCATATAAAATGTGCTGGTTTGAGCGGTAGAGTTTTAGACGCTATTAACGAGGGTAAGGGTCTTCGTTGGTCTTGTCAAAAATGTAGATCAACCGAAGTTGATTTATTTAAATTCTTCAGGCAGTCCAGAAATGGTTTTTCTGAGATCGGGAAGGATCTGTCGGCGCTTGTTGAGAAATTTAAGCATTACGAAAAAATGTTTAGGTCTTTCACTTGTCTCGACGACCCTCCACACTCTGAGGATAGCCGAGAAAATAAAGGTGGGCATGTTATTAGTCCACCTAAAAAGACAGCCACGGATTCTAGTAAAAAAAATCCTCCATCCCAGTCCTTAGAACTTATTAATTTATCTTCTCCATGCCCTCAGGCATTGGAGCCTCCGATTTCTAAAGCCATATCCACTAGGTCTACTTCTAAAAATAGTCAAACCGTTGATTTAACAGTGTTGCCATCAACATCACAAACTCCACTGTCTAACTTAGTTCCTCCGAATAATTCGGAGCCCCGCACATCAGACATCATTACCAAAAAGTTGGTTGTAATTCCTCCGAGAAGATCAATCTTTGTCTCTAGATTTGCTAAAGATACTTCTTCGGATGATATAAAGTCATACATATCGACTAAAATTAGAACTAAAGATGTATTTATTCGTAAATTTAATTTTAAATACGATCGCGATATTTCATCTTTTAAAATTGATGTGGCTTCCGAAGATTTTGATTCACTACTAAATAGTTCATTTTGGCCGACCGGGGCGTTTGTTCGCGAGTTTGAGTATAAACCTAATAAAAGTAATAATAACGTAGCTAAAATTTCTAATCTTAATTCGGATTCAAAAAACTAACTCGCAAGTCTAATTTAAGTATTTACTATCAAAACGTTAGAGGTTTGAATACCAAATTAACTGACTTATATTTAAAAGGTTTTGACTGCAATTATAATATTATTTCCTTGACCGAAACATGGCTCAAACCTCATATTTTTAATTCCGAAATTCTTCCAAATGAATATCAAATATACAGGAGTGACCGCGTGGGCAGAATCGGCGGTGGTGTTCTTTTTGCGGTGCATTCATCGATACCATCCGAGGAAGTTAGTCTTCCTGTCATTGAATATACCGAATTTAAATGTATACGTGTACAGGCTGGAAAGACTTATATTTATTTAGCTCTTTGCTACATCCCTCCTAATTCTGCCGTATCGGTATATATGCAGCTAGTTTCTTTACTTGAGACCGTAAATGCAATGCTTACGGCATCCGATTCTATGATTGTTTTGGGCGATTTAAATCTGCCACATATTTCATGGAACATCATTGACACCGATGTTGTACCAGTTTCATCTAGAGATAGTTACAATGTATTTCTGGAGGAAATGGCTGAACTTTGCCTCAAACAAATAAATATATGTCCAAATAAGTTTGGAAAGGTCTTGGATCTCGTTTACGTTGATGATGTTCCGAAGGCCTCTATTAATCGGTGTGATCCCCTAGTTTTGCCGGAAGATGCATACCATCCTGCTCTTGAGTTAAGCTACGAAATCATAAATGAAATACATAATAATAAGTCAAGTTCAAGTACTAGATATGTTTTTGCGAAAGCAAATTTCAGGAAAATTAACAAAGAACTTTCAAAGTTATCTTGGCCAATATATAGAGATGACGTGGAGCGTAGCGTTGAGCACTTTAATGATACTGTTTTCAATTTGTTTCGAAAGTATGTGCCAATACGTAATATTGTTCATGTAGAACCAATACAATTATGGTTCACTAAAGAGCTTAAAAAATTGAAAAATAAAAAGTCGCACTCTTTTAAACTGTATAAAAGAACGGGCTTACACAGTGATTACCTAAGGTACTCAGTTTTGCGGCATAGCTACTTTGCATTAAATAAGAAATGTTATAATTCATATTTATGTAAAATTAAGAAGAATTTAATTAACAATCCTAAATCATTTTATGGTTTCGTAAATTCAAAGCGTAAGGCACATGGTCTTCCGTCCGCTATGCATTATCGCAACACTGTATCTAGCGACAGCCAACTCATTGCCAACATGTTTGCTCGGTTCTTTAGGTCCAATTATTCTGTAGACTTCCCTATAAGTGGAGACTATCCGTACGAGCTTTGTCCAATCAACTCTGCTTATATTCCAGTAATATCTTCCGATGAAGTTTTACACTCTTTAAAAACCTTAAAAGCGTCATTTAGGCCTGGACCTGATCATATTCCGACCTGTTTTCTTAAAAACTGCGCTGAGAACATCTGCGAGCCTTTAACAACTCTATTCAATTTGTCACTTAAACATGGCGTTTTTCCGTCAGCCTGGAAGGAGTCTTTCATAATACCACTTCACAAAAACGGCAGCAGGTCGTCTATAGAAAACTATCGAGGCATAGCGAAACTGTCCGCTATCCCCAAATTATTCGAAGCAATTATTGTTAACCAGCTGACATATTCTATATCTTCTTCAATTACACAATCTCAACACGGGTTTTCTAAAGGAAAATCTACTATGACTAATTTATTGGAGTTTACAACTCATGTCTCAAACGGTTTTAGAGAAAATGCTCATACCGACGTAATTTACACCGATTTCAGTAAAGCTTTTGACAAAGTATGTCACTCGTTACTCATCCGTAAACTCGACCTAATCGGCTTTCAGCCCAGTCTTCTTCAATGGATCTCATCTTACCTCTCTGATAGAACACAAAGAGTTATTGTTAATAATTGTTCTTCCAACATCATTAAAGTTTCTTCAGGAGTTCCTCAGGGAAGCCACCTTGGTCCGATTCTGTTCCTGATATTCATTAATGATATTTCTTCTATAATAAAACATTCAAAAATTTTAATGTATGCCGATGATGTGAAACTTTTTAAAACATTGTCCTCTATCGAAGAAAGGTCTTTGTTACAAGCGGATCTGAACAACGTGGTTAGTTGGTGTAATACAAACTATATGCCACTAAACCTTCAAAAATGTAAAGTTATGTGTTTCTCTCGGAGGGCTGCTCAGCCAGCTGTTTATTCAATATCAAATTATAATCTGGAGCAGGTATCCAATTTTGTCGATCTTGGTATCACAATGGATTCCAAACTGAATTTCAACCATCATATTAATGTTACAGTCAATAAAGCCAAAGGCGTTTTTGCATTTGTAAGGCGATGGTCAAAAGAGTTCAAAGATCCTTATGTTACAAAAGCTCTTTTTACCAGTTTAGTTAGACCTATACTAGAATACGGATCTATTGTTTGGAATCCCCGCTACCAAGTTCATTCAGAAAGGATTGAATCAATTCAAAAACAATTCTTGCTTTTTGCATTGCGTAATTTTAACTGGGATTCAGATTACAATCTCCCCCCTTACACAAGTCGTCTAAAGCTCATAAATTTGCCTACACTCGCAAGTCGTAGAGAAATGCTGGGTATAATATTTATCGTAAAATTAATGACAGGCTTGATTAATAGCCCGGCCCTCCTGGCTGAGGTAAATTTTAATGTTCCTTCTCGAATGTCAAGACACTTTCGACCTCTATTTTTAAAGCCATGCAAAACTAATTTTGAACTAAACGAATCATTCCGTGGTTTATGTCAAGATTTTAACTGTCATTCCAGCACGTTTGACGTATCGGACTCGATTTTTACTATAAAGAAAACTATTATTTCCACTCTCAATAATTGAAATACTATCTTTAGCATATCCAATCAGCTGATGAATTTGATTCTGTAGCTGAATAGTTTTAGATCTCGACACTTAACAAACTCCTGTTTCCACTACTCGGCACGAAAAAACTAAAAAAAAAAAA